GAGCGCAGAAACGAGAGTGCCGGCTCATTCTCTCTTGGGAGGCTGGTCTCGCAAGCGAGCCACGTCGTTTCACTCGTTTCCGTAATTCCGAGGGTTCCCGGCGTATATAGTATATGTATACATATAGTATATGTATACATATATATATATATATATATATATATTATACATATAGCATATATTGGTCCACAAACAACTCTCCCGGATCCTCGAGGAAAATACACTTACACTTGTTAGTCGTTCGTGTAGCGTTCGCTCATCTCCCATCGGACGCTGGATCGCTGTCGATCGCGAGATCGACCAACAACTTCCGTCCGGTTCCCTGGCCGATGGGGGAGGGTTACGACTGAGAACCTCCGAACCTCTCGTCGCGCTTTAACTATTCACGAAGCTACGTTAGCTGTTCGCCTGGTGAACAGGTCAAAGAGAGAGGGACGGAGAAAGAGAGAGAGAGAGAGAGAGAGAGATGGATCCGTGGACGATGGACGTGTCCCACTGTTGAGAACGAAGATCGATCACCTGGACGGACGGTAAATTATTCGGCGCGTTATTCCGTCTTCTAAAAATAGACATTAAATTAAGGATAAGTAATGAGATCTACAGCGATCGTTGTTGCAAACGTGCCGTCCCAGTGCCAATGTCTCGTTTACTTTTGAGTGAAAGTTTATCGCATAGCTTGCGTCGATCTTTCGCTCCGTCCCGGTGATCGATGCCGAGCGTTAGCGCGAACGACCCGCGACAAAGCGAGAAAACGACGCGACGATATGATATGATATTTCCTTTCGGGCGCGACGCGGCTGTCGCTTAGTCCCCGGGAGAATCGTGGGATACGACATATAGCTGTGAAGGATGCGTAAACAGAATGTTCTTCTATATTTTATTCTTGTACACAACTTGCCTCGTTTTAGCGAACGCTGTGATTTCGTGATCGTTGCTCAAACCTGAAACCGGGAGCGGGAATGCTGGGAGAGATCGAGATTAGCTCTTTGCGTTCGATTCAGCCGATTTCTTCTGTTTTTTCTTTTCTTTCTTAAGTTTGGAGAAAATTATTTCTGGATTACACAATTACGTGCGTATGCATGCTAATCTTGCTGCTTCGACTGCTTTCCCTCTCTGTAGATAATTAAGAAAGACGTTATAACATCCTCGACCCTTTGTGAAATT